CTTTCTTTTCTGCAGTTAAGGTGACAGGCCTTTTGGCGCGTTCGCCAATATTCCATGTATTTGAAAAAATGACCTTGTAGATGGCCAGTCTTTTTTGCATTCCAAAGCTTCTAACAGATCTTGTCATCAATCTATTTATGCGGAAAATAATCCATTATAAAGAGAAAACCAAGTTCTTACCTTTCCAGTCCAACTGAATTGTTCATCTTCTGGTATAGTAAAATTTTTCAAAGGTCTCCAATTTCATTGTGACATTACCTTAAAAATAGTTAATGTACACAGCAGTTTGTTAGTTGAATATCTAAATAAAGCACTTTTAAAGGTGGGAAGTTTATTTATTAGTCTAAGAATAAAAACATCCGAGGTATCTTGCCAACTTTATGCCGACTGCTACAAGGTATAATAGCTGCAGCATAAACATGAGAATTAATGAGGCAACTTATCATCGCAGGGTGGAGCTTCTCTGACCTAAGCACAACTGAGGAGGTGCGTGGATACACGGCTTCCTGAAGCCTCCAGGCATGAAAGACTAAACTATAAAAGGAGCGTATCATTTCGTCTTTTTTCGGCGTTCAAAGAGTTAAGCATCTACTAGCTGAACGAACTCACCACTCGGACTGAGGTCTAGTCCGTTTGCGCAATATATTCCAGGTGAGGATAAACCGCATATTTTAATAGTACATCGTGAAAGCTCCTTGTTGTTGCTGTAACTTGAACTAAGTGAAAGACCTGCAATGACACATATGTATCAACCAGTTTCTGTGCCGTGCTTTATCATGCAAAATATACGATAGATAGAAGTGCATAAAGCTTTCTGCATCTTACATTTGTTTTTTGCGCGAAATATTGTTATGTTTAAACTAATCTGAAATATCTTTTGTCACAGCACACCATGGTTTTTCCAAAGTTCTTCGTTCTTCTACTGTCGCTAGGTAAGCTCCGCTTGCAGATGTTTGCAATCCTGCGTACTCTCTGTGATTTTTACTGTTCATTCTAAGTGAAAACAATTTTTTATTCCATACAGCATATGCTCTGGCAACTGATGCTAAATTCGAGACCGGTGTGCCGAAGGACAGCGACCTACACTTTTTAATTGATCCTGGATTCCAAGTTAACGTAGGTTACCACTTTTGACTTACAATCGTTGCTCGCCAGAAAGCCGAACTCAACGGTACTGCCTTCGAAGTGTGTACGGATAAGAAGACTTCTAATTGCTACACGGACGACCGTAAGTTCAGTATAGTGAAATAAGCTAATTTGTGATATTGAAATTCATAAAACACGGTCACTTATTTTTAAAGATCTTTAATATTAACCACCGGCTGCTATATCATGTCTGAATTTCAGCGGCAACTCTTGTGAACTTCTACATAAAGACTACGAACGATGTCAAAAAACTGAAGTTTGAAGGCGCTAGTGGCGTAAGCAAGACCTTTACTGCCACTTCTGCAGCTACATCGGCGGAAAACATCAACAACGATGGAACTAAAGCCGCCGAAGAGAAGTTCAAGCTTCCATTCGTGCCAACCGTAAGTCACTAGCTTTGCAATTTCACAACGCTTTACATGAGTCACAAAGTTGTAGGAATATTTTCTCCGCTACTTCAAATTCTATGAAATTGACTAATATTTTTACTTTAATTTAGAAAATAGTTCCGTTAGGGGCTGACGAGAATTCAGTTGGCCAGGATAAGGAAGTGGCAGACAGCAAGAATAAGAACTGCAGAAAAACAGGCCCTGATAATTGCCTTAGTATTATGGAAGGTAAGAGTAATTTTTGTGTTTTTGCATGTTACCTCGACTATGTTTGTTTGAGTGCATGTACTTCACCAGAAATCGTTCGTTCTACCCCCCATTTTATCTTGCAGAATTCTCACATATCAACATGACAGCCACAATCGAGACGACGGCGTTGTTGCTCAAACTAACTGGTGCCGACCCGGCAACCCAAACCATTGAAGCAACCTTCGTTCCCATCTCTTCGGCCGTTTGGATGCCACGCTCCACTGCCGTCATTTTGGCCACTCTGGCCATCATGGCCTACTTCTATTAGCCGCCAGCTAATGCAAAACCCTCCCCCTTGAGCTGGGGATGCTTAGAAATGCATTAAATGCAGTCTAAATGTAGTCAACTATAGGCAAATGTAGTCAAATATAGTTTGGTATAGTCACTACACTTTGTTTTTATCAAACAAGCATCATGTTGTATTTC